GGGGGGAGGAGGGAGGAGTTACAAGGTCATGGGCAGATGCCTGGTGACCACGGCCGTTCCAGGCTACTGGCAGGCCAAGACTGCAAGTTGGTCATTTAGCCCCCAGACTTGAGGACATCAAATTTCCGTTCTTTAGAGTCACCTAGCTGTGGTCTTTGTGTGACATCAGGAACTAATCAGAGATGTGCACGAAGCTTTCATTATCAAGATGCAATGCTTCACTTCCGTTTTTTGAAGCAGTGTGTCCCCTTTTCTGTTTGCTTTGAAAAAGGAAACATGGTTTATGCACACAATAAGTACCAAAGGCGACAGTCATGGAAACCAAGTCTGACCTGCTTTTCCTCAGAGACAGTAACGGACACACAACTGGAGAGTGTCCTTCTAGCAACAGAATTAGTTGCGTACATGCTGCGTACTTATTTTCTTCATCGTTTTTAGAGTACTGGCGCACTGCTTGGAGACAATTCTGGGTCATCACACGCAGACTCTGTGATGACCCAGGATGTGGGTGCTGCGCCACTTACCTCACTTGTCCCTTAACGACTGTTCGTGATGTTGTTGCGAAGGTTTTGTTATGACCCAGCAAGCAACATTTTCTTACTTACAAGCATGATCCCCAGGGACTCTTTTCTTAACCCCATGAATAAAACATTTTTCAAAATGTTCATATATTTATGAAAAGAACAAGGGCATCCGGGCATGGTCAAAATCAGGAAAGGTGTGTGTCTGGGTGGTAGCCCGTCAATCTGTACACTGGACAAATCATCAGAGAAGCTGGGTTATATGAAGAATGCGGCACCAGGATTGGAGGAAGGCTTATTAACAACCTGCTGTGTGCAGATGACACAACCTTGCCTGCTGAAAGTGAGGAAGAACTGAAGCCCTTGCTGATGAAGATCAATATGGATTACAACTCAATGTAAAGGCCAACATCCTCACAGCTGGACCAGTAGGTAACATCATGATCAATGGAGAAGAGGTTGACGTTGTCAAGAATTTTGTCTTGCTTGGATCCACAATCAGTACTCATGGAAGCAGCAGTCGGAGATCAAAAGACATTCTGCATTAGGTAAATCTGCTGCACAAGACCTAATTTTTTTATAGGTTTGAACAGAAAGAATGAGTTTATTGAAGGGGGATACTTTGAAAAAGAAGTCAAAAGGGTCTTTAGCTAGCCTAACAGGGCACAAGACCTCTTTAGGATATTGATGAGCAAGGAGGTTGCCTTGAGCATAAGGGGTGCCTGACCCAAACCATGCTCCCAGAGCAGCCTCACAGTCACGGGCATGTCGGAGTTCACAAAGAGGCATCCAGATCACAGGCTTTGGGAGGACCCTGGTGGCCCAGTGGGCAAGCCCATCTGCTCAGCAAGAGGTAGGCACACAGGGGAACTTGTTCTCTGTCCTATGAGGTCACGATGGGTCAGAATCGACTGCCGTACAACATGTGGCTACTAGGGTGGTGATACAGACACATGGTATATGCACTTAGACCAGCGGTTCTCAACTTGTGGGTGACGACCCCTTTGGGGGTCGAACAACCCTTTTGCAGGGGTTGCACTCTTAACACAATGCAAAGCTGAACTCTGTCTTCCAAAATGAAAACAGTGGGTGGGTAGTTTTTAATTTCTTCCTTTAGGTATTTTCTTGAATGTGACTAATTAAGGGCCAGATACTTGATCTGGCCCTTAATTTACCCCAGATACCTTGGGGTGCTAGCCAGCTAAACCAGTTTTATTTCTTATAACTATTTACTAATAAGTCTTTGATAGATAGCCACAATTGTGGGAAAAAATGTTTTTTAAAGACTACCTGGTAGAACTTTGGAAGCATGATTGGGTTTCATGAGTCATAACACTTCTTCACATAGCAGACAAAATCAAGGAAAAATGTCTTTGAAACTTTAAAGGCAATTTGCAAGTAGACCAGTGGGGCGTGGTCAAATAGCAGCCTGGCTTTGCTTCTCCCTGTCTGTAAATCAGCCCGTGCGATGCCCCCTTTCACCGTGACGAGCAAACGTGACCCCTGCCAAGTCACAGGCTCACCTCAGAAAGAAACTCCGTGTGCTTGCTGTCCTCGTCAACGCACCCCATGCCGCACACACAGACAGACGCTGCAACAGGGTTAACGCGCGCTTCGGACGCCCCACCTTCCCAGGCATCCGGGGGTCGGGTCGGGAGATGTCTCGCTGCTTCCCACGCGCAGTCCCAGTCCCGCTGTCGTGAGCGCTCCGTGTGCGCCTCCGAGGGGGCTGCAAGGTTTGGGCTGTGTTCCCGTACTTCGATGCGAGCTAAGAGTAGGGGTGCCAAGTCTTTCTGGAGGAAACAGCGTGGCTTTGTTTTCAGCGTTTTACTGTGCCTCGTGTGAAAGCTTAGAGCCCACGGGTGTTCCGACCAGCAGTCCACACCCAGAAGCTCCGCGGCAGGGGCGGTGGTCCCGGAAAGGGGTCCGCACTCTCCCTGTGGCCTCCCAGCGTGCCCCAGCCCCCACCCCCCAATCATTTTCTTCTCACCTCTCAGACCTTTTCGGTGGAGTGTGTTTCTGAGGCAGCACTTTCTTCGTGGGCGTTATTATTTATTGTATAGGCTTGTCTATACGTGGGGCTGAGAGGCGTTAGGACGTGGTCTGAGGGCATCCAGTCTCAGCGGTCCCTTCTGCAGCCCCTCCCTCTGTGGTTCTCATCTGTCTAGTTCTGGTCTCCGACCAGAGGACGCTGTGGTTCGTGTGGGCCAGTTGTTCTTTCTAATTGTTTGAGACTGGGTTTCTTCATTCTCCTCCTCTGCTTTAGGCAAAGAGAGTCCAAAGTAGCTTCTTAGCTTCTCTGATGGCTGCTCGAAGCCTTTCAGACCCCTGACACCACTCAACGGACTAAGATCTGAAACATAAGCTCTATGAACTCAGTTTTGGGAATTCACCTAAATGTCCCAATATCTCTTTAGCCCTTCAACTCCAGTAGTTCAGTCACAATCTCTCAGTAATTTCTAAACCTGTGTCCCCATGTGCACTATAAAACATGCCAGTAAGTGTATAAAAGTATTGCTACAGAATTAGAAACCTTTCTTAACAAAACTACTGACATATGAAGCTATTATTTCTCAATATCCTCTGTCTAGGTCTATACGTTTCTGACGACAGTGTTCCTCTCTCTAACCCTTCCCTACACGCTTTGATTTACAACACCGCAAGTTGTCCACAACCACAGCTGTCACATCCTTGAGCAACTCAAAAATCACGTTCCTCTGAAAGGTTCTTTTGAGTTCAGGCAACAAAAAGAAGCCCGGAGGCAGAAGGTCAGGACTGTGGGTGTGTGGAGTAAGATCTTCCGACGAAATGATCACAGGACAGCTCTGGCGATCCTTGAAGAACGAGCAGGTGCTGTGTCATGGACAGGGTGGGGGTGTTTGTCCTCAGGTGCTCACTGCAACCTTCCTCACCTTTCCCTCACCAATTCAATGTTCTTCCTAGAATGTCTTCTAATACACTCCTGGGATTGTTCTGTGTCCTTTGAGAAAACCCCTTGCGATCACCCAAAAGTCACACAACCTTATGAACTGTCCTCTGTCTTGAATTTCACTGCCTCAACAGATCCTCCTAGAAGTACTGTTTTGGTTACCATATATACTCGAGGATAAGCTGACATTTGCTTGTGCACCCAATTTTACCACAAAAACTGCATTAAAAATGTGCTGAACCTGCCTGGCACAATTGCTGAAGACAATGGGTGCACAAGCAAATATGGTGAAGAAAGCTGATGGTGCCCAGTTACCAAAAGATATAGCACCTGATGTCTTAAAGACCTGAAGATAAACAGGCTGAGACACAACAAAACCCACATGGAAGAAGCATACCAGCTTGTAAGATGACAAGGCTTCAAAGGGATCAGGTATCAGGCATCAAAGACTTAAATCAGAGCATTGTGAATGAGGGGGAGTGCAGAGTGGGGGGACCCAGGGCCCATCCGGGGGGGAATTGGACATCCCCTTGCAGAAGGGCTGCGGGGAGGAGATAAGCCAAGCAGAGTGCAGTGTAGCAATGATGAAATGCACAATTTTC